AATGGGTGCGCATCGTGCAAAATAACTTGAAATTCTGACGGAATTGGCATTGTGCAAACATATCTAGGGAGAGGGAGGCACAAGGCAACAGAGCAGGACCTACAGTCGGACCGCGCAACCTGCAGCATTATGCAGACCGAGCAAGAAGCCACGAAGTAGCAAGACAGTGTGAAGCAGCGCACCAGCAGGTAGCATCGCATGAAGAACACCTTTTGAAGATCTTTCATTGATGAAATTGCGGACAGGGTGCAAGGTGCTGTCACGGGTACAGCTGAGTTCCATGTGACGCACATGTTGTACGCTGATGACCTGACTCTGATGGCCAATGATCCTCATGCTTTGCAGACCATGCTGAACCGCTTACACGCGTATGCTCAGCGGAAGCACTTAATCATCAACACCGCTAAGTCGGAGGTAGTTCACTTTAATTCCTCAGGGTCAGATCTACCTGTTTTTCATGTTGGGGGGGTGCCACTGGCACACAAGGAGTCTTTCAAGTACCTCGGCATGATGTTTCACAAGCGCATGAGCATGACGAAGTCCTCTGAGCATGCCACTGGTCCRTTCATGGCGTCTGCTTTTCGGGTCCGTCAATTTGTTCGTGAACACTCTCTGGCAAATAGGCCATATGTCTCTCTGTGGCTTGGGAAGACGTATGTGGTTCCGGCTGGACTGTATGCAGGGCAGGTGTGGGGAACTGAGTACATTAAAGAGGGCAAGGAGTTTGCGAGTGACCTGCAAGTGCGGCACATGAGTTATCTAAAAAGCACGCTGGGTGTCAAACGTACCACTCCAAGCTGGGCTGTTTTGCGGGAGTGTGGTCATGAGCCGCTCCAGTTTTATTGGTTCAGATCTGTTGTTAAGATGTATAATAGCATGCTCAGGTCCAATAGCGAGACGCTGAGAAGCGTGCTGAAAGCGGATCTGAACATTCATTCTCGTGAGCCTTCTTGCTGGACTGCTCAAGTTTTAGATGCCTTTCAAGGATTGCGGCGCTGTGATTCCTTTGTTGAAGCTGTGCGGCAGGGTACACCTATTTCTATTCAAGAGTTCACTGCTGACCTAAGGCACAGGTTGCGGGCAGTGTGGAGAGATGTTGAGGGAGTAAACCCTCAGGAGACTTACAGTAAATTGGCAACCTATCAAACTTTGTTTGCAGTGCCTTTTGACCACAATGTGCGTGCCCCAGCCCGCTTACCGAGACACATGCATTTGGATCTGTCTCAACATGTCGTAAGGAATGTTAGCCGTTTCAGACTTAGGGCACACAGGTTGAAGGTGGAGACAGCGGCTTGGGATTCTCGAACCTCTCTCGTGTGTGATTGCTGCTCTAGTGCTGAGATTCAGGATGAAGTCCATGCCCTTTTGACGTGCAGAAACGCAGCTGTTTGTGATTTGAGGAGAAAGTATGCTTACCTGTTCAACTGCTTCTCAGGTATTTTTACAATGGAACAACCTTATTTACAGCAAGTTAGTGTCCAGGGTGTGCAGGATTTCCTCTTGCAACACAACAACAAGCTTTATTTGTTTATTTCTGAGCTTATGGATATTATGTTGGCTGGCGAGGACCAGTCACAGGCTGATCAGTCGAACAATCTGGCTGAAGGTCCCCAAATGTAAATCTAAAAAAATCTAAATCTAAATCTGAAGATCTTTCAGGGGGTTTCACCCGGTAGGGAGGGCCTACGGTTTGGCTTGCATGCAGCGCAATCCAGGACTTTTATGGAGCTCTCATGAGCTGTCTCGTTGTGGGCAACTACAAACCTGAAACAGCAGGCAATTTTTGGCTTAAACTTCAAGTCAAAAGTCTTTAAAGATTGCATGCACACGGTGATTGATCATACTTTGGTCAGTGCCATGTGCAATAGTGAGCAACAGCACCACATTGTCAACTTGCTGTCAGTCAGGAAGCACAACGAGGGTGCACAGGGAAAAAAAAAGGCATGGGCTGAGAAGGAGTTTGCGCAATCAGGGTGCGCAAAGGGAAACCAAAATTTCTCTGGCTGCAAAATGCGTTGCGCAATGAAAAAATTTAATGCAAAAAAATTCAAGGGTGGGTACTGGTCACGGAGCTGTCCAGTATTTTCCCACTTTTTTTTGCTTTTACCTAAGCGGCCCCCAGCAGGGACCTGACAGCAAAAGAAGAGCCGCAAGGAAGAGCGAGAACAAGGGCCGCTGAAACACAACTCAAAGAAAGGACCAGACCTACCGAGAACCCACGGAAAAAGGACAAGGCAAGGCCAAGCTGCCAAAGGCATGCGGGAGAGCAGTTGCAGGAAGGAAACTTAACTAAAGCAGGGAATAACACCCCAAGCTCCACCCAAACAAACGGCAGAAGGAAACTGTTCAGCTCAGGAAGGACATAAGCCCAGCACAAAATCAAGGCCGCTGGAAGCAAGAGGCGACAACAAAGTGAGAAGAAGAGGAATCCAGAGACCCACATAGACAACAATTTGTCTGTCAACGGGGAGTTGAAGTTAAGCAAGCAGAGAGCAGCCACGCAGGCGAAGGGAGGCTGACTGGCAAGGAAATAAAAGCAGGGCGGCTGCAGAACTGAGAGAGGCAAGCGCAGAAGGAAGCATGGAGAGGCTAACTCGGCCGAGGATCCCTACTGACGTGCGGCTACTCACGGCTAACCTGGAACCCCCCCACCCCCCAAAGCGCCCCACTCCAGCCACAGACCGGAACCTAACCCCTCCCTTTTTTTTTGCTGTTACATGAGCGGCCCCCAGCAGGGACCTGACAGCAGAAGAAGAGCCGCAAGAAAGAGCGAGAACAAGAGACGCTGAAACACAACTCAAGAAAAGGACCAGCCCTGCTGCAAACCCACGGAAAAAGGACAAGGCCAGGCCAAGCTGTCAAAGACACGCGGGAGAGCAGTTGCAGGAAGGAAACTTAACTCAAGCAGGAAACAACACCCCAAGCTCCACCCAAAGCAAGCAGCAGAAGGAGGACTGTTCAGACTAAAAAGGACACAAGCCCAGGAAAAAAGGCAAGGCCACTGGAAGCAAGAGAGGACAACAGAGACAAAAGAGACTCACAAAAGAGACTCACACAGAGTTGAGTTAGCGCGGAGCTGAAGTCAAGCGAGCAGAGAGCAGCCAGGCAGGCGAACGAAGGCTGACTAGCAAGGAAACAGAAGCAAGGCGGCTACAGAACTGAGAGAGGCAAACGCAGAAGGAAGCAAGGAGAGGCTAACTCGGCCGAAGATCCCTACTGACGGGCGGCTACTCACGGCTAACCTAATACCCCCCCACCCCCCAAAGCGCTCCACTCCAGCCACAGACCAGAACCTAACCCCTCCCCCCTTCATGACCACACCACTCCGAAGCCGCCCGGCCACCTCGACACCACTAAGCTACACTCAGCTAGAGGTCCACCTCTTCAAGGGTGAGGCGCACTGTTAACTTGTGGGCCTGACCAGAATCATCACCATGACCGGTCCAATTGCCACCACCGATGCCTTCATGAGCGTCTTGCTGAACAGCAAGGAAAGGGTGGTCAGCTCGGATCTTGTCCCAGCCCTTCGGCAAAATCTTGGTGGAGGCAAAATCCTGCAAGGAGCAAAGAAAGTTGAGGAGGGCAAACCTCCTGGCCCTCTCCGCGATGCTCGCTTGACCAGGCTGCGGCTGTTGCAGGGGCTGATAATGCTGCTGCTGCTCCTCCTGGGGCTGATGTTGTTGCTGCTGCTGCTGCTGCTGCTGCTGGTGATGATGATCTTGCGCCGCAACGCACTGTACCAAAGACACTCTTTTATTTATAAGTTTTGTCACACTCTCTCAGCAGCGGGAAACCCACCAATCTCCTCAGCTTTCTTGCACCAGTCCGTGTAGCTTAAGCTGGACAGGGTAAAGGACCCTGATGTTGTTGCTGCTGCACGTAAAGGACCCTGACAGCGATGATTATGCTGTATTTGTTGCTGTGTGCAGGTGCGCGCATGCGTGCATGCAATGCTGGATGGGCTGGAGGAGCTGGGACCACGTGGCAGTTACAACTTTCAACACGCACAGACAACGTTTTGCATGGCATGCATAAGACACCATACCCTTCCCCTGGAGTACCACTTCTCCAAGGAGTCCCCCTAGGCCCTAGGTGCCTCCCCTTGTAGCCGGAAGAGCCACGGGACCCCCTTGAAAGACACACACACACAGACCCTCTGCAGATCTTCTTGTTGACCACAAGTATGCACTTGTACTAGAACTTGGCCAAGTGCGCCAAGTATACTACAAGTCCACTTAGCCAAGGGACAAGTTTAAGTACAGCCAAGTGCAGCCAAGTTTGCTCAAGTAGAAGTCCTAGTTCACTTGCTCTAGTACCCTACAAGTATTGTTCAAGTTCTGTACATGTAGGGATCAGTAGTCATAGTGGTACACACACACACACACACACACACACACACACACAGGATGCAGGTTCACTCACGCATTAGTGTGTGTTAGTCCCCTCTGCTCTAAGGAAGGAGAAGCCTGCATGCGCACACACAAGGAGATCTCTAGAATAGATATTTTCTGGGTCAGTGCAAGCTCCAAGCAAGCGTGCAAGCAGCGTGCAAGCATCAGTGGCGTGCAAAGCAGCCCAATGCGCGCAGTGTGCACTGTGCTGCGGGGGAGCGAATGCAGGGTGGAGCAGGTTGGTGAGGGCTCTCAGCTGAGTGTTGTTCTGAGGGAGGGCGCGCGAGAGAACGAGGACAGAGAGGAACACGCAGGTGGGTCCTTGATTATTATTTACAAAAATAAATTAAGAAATACTGACGACAGCCGGAACATCTTTGCGTAAAGATTCGGCCGGCAAGCGAATGGTCTCCGGAGCACTTGTTCAGTACAGCAAGCAGGAGGATTTACATCGCAATATGTACACACCTACTTTGGATTTGTGTTGTTCCGATTCACTACTCGACGTTTACCCTGACACACAAATTCAAAGTGACAGACATTTGTTGGTAGTATATTTCAAAAATATGCATTTTATAAATGTAAAAAATACTGATGGTGGCGGCCGGAGTCCGTGTAGCTTAGTGGATGAAAGCGTCTGACTTCTAATCAGGAGATCCCAGGTTCGAGTCCCGGCTCGGACGCGACTGAGGCCTTTAGGTGGCTTCTGCTTTTGTGTGTGCACGTGTGCGTGCGTGCGTGTGTGCGTGCATGGGTGGGTGGATGTGGGTGGGTGGGTGGGTGGGTGGGTGGATGTGGGTAGGTGTGTTTGCATGAGTGGGTGCATGTGTGTGTGCATGTGTGCGTGCGTGCGAGCAAGCGCGCGTGCACGTTTCATGACAGCGATTGACCCCCTATGGGGGTTAGGTTATACATATATTATGATGGGTCAAAGGCCCCTTTGACAGATTGAACTCATCTCAATTACATGGCCAGCAAACTCATGTTTTTTTTGTGTTTGTTTCCCAACAGAACAGCATTCTGACTTTTCCTCATCGTATTTCTGAGCTCTTGGATTTGTTAAAATTGGCTGGCGTAGACCAGTCACAGACTGATTGGCCGAATGATTTGGCTGAAGGTCCACTAGACAATGTAACCTAACCTGGAAAAGAAAAAGAAAAGAAAAAGAAAAAGAAAAAACTACGTAGGCAGCAGAACGCTCCTACATCAATAAAGGAAAGGAAGGCCCATTGGCTCAAAAGAGCCGTGAACCTCCCTCACCACGAGAAGGAAAAAAGAACTAATGGGGATCTGGAGGGTTGATGGCATGGCCTGCTGTAACATGTTGGCTGGAAGAAGCGATTGTATCTTACAATCAATAGAACATCTAGTAGTGGTCAATTTGTGAGCGTACTGAACAGAGTGGGCATGCAGATTAAGGGCAAGCTTGGTGGCACGCTGACTGTCCAGGCCTAGTTGCAGAAAAACATTTAAAGTATGTGGAATGTAAATAGTTCCACCAACACCAAGGAGGATAGTATGCAAAGTGACCTTCTTCCCTTGCACGTTGCGGCAAAGCTGCTCACGTTGGTGGCAAGACTTCTCTAGCTGGTGCCTAGGCCACGTGTCTTCACAATAGTTGACATCAAACAAGTGCGCGTGCCTATTCTGGACATGGAGTTTACGGGGCTGTCTCATGGCTGCCTGCCTCGTACAATGGGCAAGGGTCCTCTGCAGGATCCTGGCACAGCGACGCACATGGTGAGATAAGGAAGGTGCGGACACGGGGGGATTGGTGCGGGAATTTGTAACAAGGATGGCATCCGGGCGACTGGAGTTGAGTCTATCGCGGTCTGTAAATCTTTGTGGGAAGAGAAACTTAGGAACATATCTGTTGTTGGCATTGACTGGCAGCTGTGTTGGGCCAGACGTTGGTCGCTGCCAGCATCCATAGAGACAATACCTGCTCCTTGGGAGCCTTTGCTGACACCTTTCATGATCATTCTACGAGCAATGTTGTGACGCTCCGTGATCATACTGTTGATGACGTGATGTTTACAACCTGATAGAACGTGAAGTGCACTGTCTGTGTGATGGCAGAGGGGACATTGGAGGCCGGTGGAGGTCTTAAAGCGGACAGCATGCTTTTGGTTGTAGAGGGTGCCTGTGCGGTACTTCACAATGGTTTGTTTCATGGGGAAAGTGATACAAGGCATAGTCTAGAAGGCATTACTGATGTCCTTTTTCACGATGGGAAGAAGACTGACCTAACCTAACCTATAAAGGAAAAGAGAGCACTTGCCGCAACACGCACACGCGCCAGCGCAAGGAGCGATTCTGCGCAGTACATATATATACAATGATGCGCAATAGGCATATTGTCGTGTGTGCTGACTTCGCTAGTTTAATTCACTACGTAAAATAGGAAGGGGAAAGGGGTACTGAGGAGCACAGGGGTTGTGAGTTGCTGCCCCTTCTGCTAAGGCTGCTCCCCTGCGCCTCGGCCCGCGCTGCGATGAGTGCTGCGGGGCCTGAGGCTTGGTGGAATGAATGTGTAGCTGGCGATATTCCTAGAAGATTCCGTGAGATTCGAGACTGAAATGCAGAGCACCTGGCGCAATTGAATGCTGGCACTTGGATTGAGTGTACCTGGACCCTGGGAGGGGCAGATGGTACTGGAAGGGTGTACCTGGACCCTGGGAGGGGCAGATGGTACTGGCTAATGCTTGGGATGCTTCCTTGCTTGAGTTCCTCCTGTACTACTCACCGGACGCAGCCTGGATATGCGCCGGGCTCTGAGTCTGACGATTGCTGGTGTAGGATG